ATGACGAACAAATGGAACGTATGAGCATTATGGAACAACGGTATCCACGTACCTCTGGAATCGTTCAATCTGTAAAACGTGCTTACCTTTTGCTAATAATTATCAGCAATGTTCTGTTAAACTTAAACTAATTATGTTAACTCATGTGAATGATGCAACGGTTACCATTAGTACTCTGTTAATTGCAGGTCAACTATGTTAACATATATGAACGATAAAACAAATGTGTATACTTTTGTATGCTTCTGATTAATAGCTCAAGTGAACTACGTCATTTCTTAACGAATAAAGAGAATTTATGTTCACTCTTGAATAACGGATTCTATGTAGATATGAGAGCATACCGTTTTGTTATTAATAGGCCACAGGCCATTCAGTTATAAGTTATCAAGTGTGGACACCTTCGAAGAATCGGAATAATTGGAAAAACTATGTGTATCCATATAAATCTGAAGTTATTTTGTTGTGATACATATGGACCTGAAGTTATTCAGAATCTACGACATAAACGCAAAAGTTTAGCGTCATTATGTGACCCACATTAGAATGTGAATTGTTCTATCTTTGTTAAGTATACGGTAATAACATGATATGACAAGAAATGCCCTATTTTCTTATATGTTACGTTTTGAATCAATGAATGATTGTCCATCTATATAAAAGTATTCATGGCATCCTTAGCACAAGGCCCTTACCCGGGGGTAATAATACTGTGGTCTTATGGCCCTTGCCTGGGGGTAATAATACCGTGGTTCAAGTATGTTACAAGTTTTCGGTACCGGAGGTTCCTTTATGGAACTAACAAGTATGCTCTATATTAATTTGTTAGCGCTATTGGATGTACCATGTATAATCATGCATGAACTCTGATTTTTGTTTATGATTCAAGCATAATTAAGAATATATGTGAATTTGTTTCCATTATGGTATGACATGATGTGAAAGGTTCGGTCTGTAAGACCTACTGATACTGGTATGGAACAAAGTGCTACTTGGAACTAAGTGCTACATTGTGAACCACCTCTAGAATTCGTGTGAGACACCTCTTGAGTCCATACATATATGAACTAGGCTTAAAGCCAATATGGCCTATGGTCATTCTGTATAATCTATTAGGCCAGAGGCCATTCTGTATTTCTGATATGAAACAAAGTGCTGTACGGAACTAAGTGCTGCAATGCGAGTCACCTCTAAAATCCGTACGAGACACCTCTTGAATTTATACATGCATGAAAGGGCTTCATGCCACTCTGCTAAGGGCTTCATGCCACTCTGTTAAGGGCTTTATGCCATTCTGTTAAGGGCTTCATGCCATTCTATTAAGGGCTTCATGCCACTCTGTTAAGGGCTTAAAGCCACTCTGCTTAAGATTGGGCCCAAGGCCGCTCTGGAATTGGTACAGAAACAAATTAACCATATGATCTCTTTATTTATAAATGCATGGATATGTATTATAATTCAAGTTGAGTATTGAATTGTTTATGTGCTATTATTCACTGAGCTTGGCTCACTTTATGTTATGTCTGTTTCTGTAGACACTCAACCTAGAGGTCATTCTTAACCCATGGCATCCATTCCTTTTGTGTCAACCTCAGAGTGTCCAGGCACCTAAATGAGTATGCTAAGCTTTTGGTTTTGTACCCTAATTGTCGGTCTAAGGTTGAGGTGTACATGACCCTTTTTCCTTTCAATGTTTTTTTTTACATGCTCAACTCGAGGGCTGGGATTGTATATGTATATGTACATAGCTAGATTCTTAGATGTATGACACTATATGTTTATTTGCCTTATGTTCTGTTTGTGATCCTGGCATAGTAGTGACAGCTCAATGGATGTTATTTTATATTTTTGTATGATATTAAATGCTTCCATTCAGGCCCCATATGATATGTATATCAGGTTAAGTGTCCGTTTTTGAATGGGTCATGCCCGAATTTTTAGGGGCAAGTGCGGGGCGGGACAGGAATGTTATCTGCGGCCGAAAACGTAGTGTAAGTCGGCTCGTATCTCAAAAGTATGTGGGCCGCCCTCCATTGCTTTTGGAGGTTTGGACGGCTAAAGAACTGGAGTGCAGTTTTGATTTCCGCATGTACAGCGTCATCAGCCAAAACCAAAACTTTCTTCAAATCGTTGCCTGCATAAATAAAACAATAAGTGCATGGAAGGAAAAACCAGGTAAATATATAGCAAATACACGTAAGGAACTATATGACCACTTGGTTCGCCTTTTTGTCTAGACACAAGATCCAGGCGATCTTTGCCCTCATCGAATTCCCAGTTGCCTCGGACAACGACCATGATATCGTCAACACGCTTGCCAGAGCTAGCAAGCATAGTCACCAAATGATGGTCGGTGTCCTTAGCCTTGAGAAAGTAGCGCCCCTGCTGAATAGCAAGGATACCACGATTGATCCTAAGGCATCGGTTCAACCCTACAATTCCCATTATGATTCGGTAAAAATTTACATTAGGCTGGGAAAGGATTAAACCCCAGTGGCGAAGGACGACCCTTAAAAATGGGTGAAGGGGGAAACAGACTCCGCCTCAACAATTGATAGGAGAGGAAAGATGATTGTACTCTCATCAGTCCTCTCTATATCAATTGTGCTCTCTGCCACGAGTGATAGATGGACGTCGTCAGGAGTAGAAAAATGGCGTTGAAAACCAGAAACTCAATCCGTAGAAAGAAGGGCTTTCAAATGTTTTGCCATCCTAGCCAGTTTAGGAAGTATGCTAAACTAAAAACAAACAAGGAAATGAGATTCGAAATAGAGGAGAAGAGAACTTACAAGAAGCAGAGAAAACAATGAGAAATGGGAGGAAGTTGCAGAGGTTGCGAAATGAAGGAAGTATACTAAAAGGCAAACCAGAAGCTTTGCGTATTCAAAAAACATACATTCGAAGAGACAACATAGTTTCAAATCGCATTAAATGAAGGAAGCGTACGAAGGGGCGGGAAATTGTAATGATGCCTAAAAAGCGTATGCGTTCTGACACTTATGTTGGAATGAGGTTAACCGCCGTATTTTTTGATTTTTCAAGTTTGAAACCAAACACGCCGACTAACTGGTGTTAGTAGGATGTTTGGGGGGCAATTGTGGGAGCCGAATATCGGTATATGCAGGAAAGTCGAATAAATCTAAAGAAAATCAGGATATATATTATATTCGGCCCCGTCCTGGACGATCTCGAAGCCGAATAGATTAATCGGTCATAGAACCAGTTGAACAAAAAGTCGAGTGAGAATTGGCATACGACAGAAGGGCCAAATGAGCAATCATGCGATGGATTAAGAGTGGGCCCGACCCTAGGGCCCAAAAGCGAATATAAATAGAGGAACATCAACCAAAGAAAGGTATGTGAGAACAGACCTAAGAAACTTGAGACACAAACAAACGAGAGACATATACTAATTTGTTCGTCGGAGTGCTAATTCCGGCACCCTCGACCGGAGTGTTAATTTCTTTTTCAGGTGGCAATCAGAAGATCAGAAACGTCCTTCAAGATCTAAGAGTATTTTCAAATGACTTCTCCACAATATATATATCTTTGATTTGATGATTAAAGGAAAAAGGAAAAAAAAAAATTGTTAGAAATATATAACATATATATATACATATATATATGGATATATCTCGCTACAGCTCCACTCTTCGGTGCATAAGAGCCCTTTGGAGTTGCCATTAGCGTAGACTTCGGAATACCCGTAGGAGGTTTCACTCTTTTGATGTCAAAATTCGGATCACCATTCAGCTTGTTTGGTTTCATTTTTTTGGAAATAATTTTTAAAAAAATTTACTTTCTTATTTTTTGTATCTTTTTTATTTTTATTGAATTTTTTTAATATTTTAAGTAATTTTTTTTAATTTTTAGACACACTTAACATAAATACACATAAAAAATATAATTTTTGTGAAAAATCTTTTAAAAATCCAATAAATACCAAAAATATAAAAAAATACAAAAATTTAGTATGTTTTTTGTATTTTTATGTATTTGTTAATTTTTTAAAATATTTTTTCACCAATTTTTTACTTTTTAGATACATCTAAGTACAGTACATCTAAAAAAGTAAAAAAAAATGCTTAAAATTTTAAAAATATTCACTAAAAACAAAAAAAAATATGAAAAATAAAAAATTTAATCCAAAAAACTCAAATCAAACGCAATGATTAGTAGGACAGTGTTGAATAAAGTGCCCTAAACAAAACGATTAAACACTTTATATTTTCAAGCAATACATCCAACAGGTTTTTTTTATTTTTTATTTTTTTAAAGTTTAAAACAAAACACCAAAAACTTGCAAGGGCAAATTAATCATTTTACATCTGTCATTAACGGTGTTAACTATGTATATCAACCCATTAACTACCTGAGAGTTATGTGGTATATTTGAACGTTAGGAGATAATTCGCACCTGGCCAAATCATAGATGTAAAGTAAAATTTGTCCTAAAAATAATCACATAAGTCTTACGTAATTTATGAATTAAAATGCATAGTATGATATTTTAGCTAAGTTAATCTTTTAGTCTTTTATTAAGAAATTATGTGTTTATTTCCAAATACAATTGAGGTAAATCCTGAGTAAAATAAACAAGGTTTAAATAAAATTAATTTCTCAAGAAAATAACGAAATTTTTCATAATTTGCACAATACAATTACTTATGCACGTAGATAGATACTTTAATCTTTTCACATAAATTATTTATAATGGTGTAGACTTTAACCGCCGAAACATAAATAAATTATCTACTTATTTTTAAATGATAAAAAATTATGTTATTTTTAAATGACAGAAAACTATGTGCACTTCAAAGATAAATTGAAATTTACTCTTATCTTTAGCTATCATATTATTATAAGTTTTAATTTTTTTTTAAAATGAAATTTAAAATAAAAATTTGTAAAATGGAGATAGTAAATCAAATTGTTCCACATAATAAGGAATTCCTCAGTCACAACAATCCTTTCAAAGGGGAGGACTGGCACAGAATAAATAAATAATAAAAAAAACAACCAAATTGAAGTCCATTTTCTCATTACATAACAAAACTATCACAGTTTTTAAATAATAATAAAAAAAATTAAATGTATATATCTACATCCTACAAAGTTCAAACATTTTCAGAGTCCACAAAGTCTGCGTGCCCTCAAAACAAAAACACCCTTCCGATTCGTGCCCACGTGCCACGTGTGCGAGTCTGACAAATCGCCGAATGTTGAACGTTCTCACAAAGCCGTCTTACAACCTTTGAATATTCACTCTCTCTCTCTTACCTCGGTGTCTGAATCCGAGTTTGATGCTGAGTCGACTCGTCTCTACCACCACACTCGATATCCAACTCACTCATCGGAGACCCAAAACTCGTTCCGATCCCCGACGACGGAGACACCGCCACTCCTTTTCTATTGAAGCTCAGTATTCTCTTCAACGAAAGCAACCGACTTGCCGGCGATTTAAACCCTTGACTCGCCGGCGAACTCGGTCCCAACTCACTCCCCAACTCGCTCGTCCTCGGCACATCTATTGTCACTGTCGCCTTCCTCCGATCTCCCAAACTCGACGACGAAGCACCCTCGTGCTGACACGCTGCGCACGTCCCAGAACTCGAACAGGGTTCAAACCCAGCCGGTTCAACTCTAGACCGGTTTTCCGGCACTGGTTCAACCGGAGATCGGCAGAGAGGGCAAGTAGAGTGAGAGTGGAACCACATGTCGATACAATTGATGTGAAAGCTATGGTTACATTTGGGTAACAAGCGACCTTTCTCGTTTTCCTCGAACTCCGACAAGCAGACGGCGCATTCTAGCGCGGCGGCGGAGGCTGAGGCAGAGTAGACGAAGACGGGGAGGGAGTTGAGGACGACGGCGTCGAGGCCGCGGGAGGCGGTGGCGGAGGGGGTGTCGGGTTCGACGTAGAAGACGAGTTGGGTGCGGCGGTGATTGTGGTGGCGGACGTGGTGCTGCCGCCGTGAGCGGAGGAGGTACCAGCGGGCGTAGAGGTGGAGGCAGATCATGAAGACTACGACGCCGAACAAAACGATGATTGCGCTCAGCATTATTTTTCCAGTTATAGAGTAGCCATTGTTTTGATAATATGGTTGCATGTTATTGCTTTCCATTGATGGTGTTTTTAGAGAGAGAGAGAGAGAGGGGTTTTGTGGGTTTTAGAGAGAGAGAGAGGGGTCTGATGATGGTGTGATGAGGGAATGGGTTTATATGTATAGAGGAGTGAAGAGGAATAATTTTTTTTACCGTGTAGGAGAGAGAGAGAAGGTTCATGAGGATTTCTGGGTTTGTTGTACTAACGATAGATCTTGCAGTCAAATAGACGCCGAGCTTGACGCGGGAGCTTGAAATGACCAAAATAGCCTTCAGTTTTGTAACAACAAATCCAATACGTGAAGAAGAAGCGAACTGGTTGACTAGTTTTTCCTTCAGTTTTTCTGCTCCTCTGTCCTAAAATAATGGTCTCTTTTGAAGAATTTAATTTTTTTTAATAGTATAATTATTACATCTGAAAAAAAATTATCCTTTTGATAATATATTTTTAAGAATATTAATATCATAATTGTATTTTTTATATTGTTTATTAATTTAAAGGAATGACAAAAAAGAAAATTTATATTATTTTTGTACTTGATTTTTGAAGAAAGACTAATATTTTGAGACAATGAAAAATAAAATAAGAAATTAAGATTTTGGGACGGAGAGAGTATTATTTTTCAAGTAAATTATATTCAATTTTAAAAAGGGGTATTTTTTTTAAGGTCCCTGATATTATGATTTTATATTAAAAAGGACATCAAATATTTTCATGATGTCTAAGGTCCCTCAACATCAATCCAGAGAAATTTCAGTCCCAGAGAAAATTGGTCCAGAGACGATACAATTGATGTGAAAGCTATGGTTACATTTGGGTAACAAGCGACCTTTCTCGTTTTCCTCGAACTCCGACAAGCAGACGGCGCATTCTAGCGCGGCGGCGGAGGCTGAGGCAGAGTAGACGAAGACGGGGAGGGAGTTGAGGACGACGGCGTCGAGGCCGCGGGAGGCGGTGGCGGAGGGGGTGTCGGGTTCGACGTAGAAGACGAGTTGGGTGCGGCGGTGATTGTGGTGGCGGACGTGGTGCTGCCGCCGTGAGCGGAGGAGGTACCAGCGGGCGTAGAGGTGGAGGCAGATCATGAAGACTACGACGCCGAACAAAACGATGATTGCGCTCAGCATTATTTTTCCAGTTATAGAGTAGCCAGTGTTTGGATAATATGGGGGCATGTTATTGCTTTCCATTGATGGTGTTTTTAGAGAGAGAGAGAGAGAGGGGTTTTGTGGGTTTTAGAGAGAGAGAGAGGGGTCTGATGATGGTGTGACGAGGGAATGGGTTTATATGTATAGAGGAGTGAAGAGGAATAATTTTTTTTACCGTGTAGGAGAGAGAGAGAGAGAAGGTTCATGAGGATTTCTGGGTTTGTTGTACTAACGATAGATCTTGCAGTCAAATAGACGCCGAGCTTGACGCGGGAGCATGAAATGACCAAAATAGCCTTCAGTTTAGTAACAACAAACCCAATACGTGAAGAAGAAGCGAACTGGTTGACTAGTTTTTCCTTCAGTTTTTCTACTCCCTGTCTCAAGATAATGGTCTCTTTTAGAGAATTTAATTTTTTTTGATAATATAATTATTACATTTAAAAAAAATTAATTTTTTAAAATTACTCTTTTGATAGTATATTTTTAATAATATCAATGTCATAATTGTACTTGTTATATTATTTATTAATTTAAAAGAAGGACAAAATAGGAAATTTATATTATTTTTGTACTTAATTTTTGAAGAGGGACTAATATTTTGAGATAATAAAAAATGAAATAAGGGACTAATATTTTGGGACGGAGGGAGTATTATTTTTCAAGTAAATTATATTCAATTTTAAAAAATATATATATAATAAGTCTTATAATTTTAACATAATTATATTAAAAAAATTAATTTATTTAATATTTAATTCATCTTTTATTAATAATTGGTTAGTTATATGAATAAAAAAATTATATTATTATCTCTTTTGAAATTGTTTATTTTTATTTTATTTTGAGAATTTATGTTAAATTATGATGAAATTTATTTCAATTGTTTATAGTTTTTATTTTTAGGGTTCAAAAATCTCTCTTTACCTGCTTATATTAGTCTAAATTATTTTCTTATGTTCTAATAAATTTTATGGGTGACATAATTATCAAAATACCCCTAATAATAGGGTGAAGCATGCAATGTTTACGAGAACATTCACACTGTAAAATTTATTTAATGTGACTGTTCATATTATCAAGTTGTTAAGGATTTAAAAAATATTTGTAAAGATAAAATTGTTCGTAAAATATCTTTAGAACTTGGTTGGGAAGAATATTAGGGCTAAAATAGCCATATAAAACAAAATAAGCTATTTTAGCTAAATAAGATAAAATATCATATCCAACCTATAATCATTTCATTTCTTCTCTCACAAAAGTAAAAAAAATAAAAAATAAAAAAAATTTATCTCAAACGAGATTTTTTACCCCAAGTTAAAGTAGCCAGAAACGTAAAAGCCAAAAAATCAACCCACATTCCAAACGAGCTATAAATATGATAATTAAGATTTGGGAACCGCTTGCCTCTAGTCCTTAATCGGACTGGACGGTGCTGTTTGGCCCGTGGGGACCCATCATGGGTCCCGTTTTGATAATCTGAACTGTTCAATGTGTAGAAATCGTCGAATATTATATTTTTCTAAAAAATCATGTTGATTGGATATCGATAGCTATGTGATCAAATCAATTTTGTATATTAAAAAAAATGGACGATGAAATAATTAACGATTGATAAAAAACTTATAAGATGAGATAGCTATCGATATCCGATCAACGTGATTTTTTATAGGCATATAGTATTCTACAAGTTCTACACATTGAATGGTTCAAATTATTAAAATATGACCTATGATGGGCTTCCATGAACCAATCAACACCGTCTAATCCGATTAAGAACCGGTGGCAAGCTGCTCTCTTAAGATTTAGTTGATCAAATATTTGAAATAATAAAATTTATTGAAATATATTAATGTTTTATAGAATAATTAGAATACAAATACATAAAAAATAATTTTTTAATAATTTTTACTTAATTTTAAAAATTTATGGTATACGTTTTTGTCCAACCTATGAAGTAAATATAAATTCAATAAGTTAAATAAATTGATTATAAAAATTAGGAAACATCATTTTTTTTTTTTTTTTGATATTAGCAATTTTTAATTTGAAAAAAACTACACCGAACAAACTCTTGGAGCTGTCTTAAAAATTGCGTTAGGATTCCTTTTGGTCTCTAATCGAATAAGAGGGTATTGTTGAGTGTGTGGGGTTTATCATGGGTTCCGTTTTAATAATCTGAATCGTTCAATGTGTAGAACTCGTTGAGCGGTTTATATCTGTAAAAAATCACTCTGACCAGATATCGATAGTTATCTTATCGAATCAGACTTTTATCAACTGTTTATTTTTTCACCATTCATTTTTTTATACAAAAACTGATTTGATTACATAACTATCAATATCCGATCAATGTGATTTTTCACAATACTCGACAATTTTTACACATTGAACGGTTCAGATTATCAAAATGGAATCCGTAATAAACCTCTACGGGTCTAATAGTACCCTCTAATCGAATCACGGATTAGAAGAAAGCCAACCCTTTAAAAATAATAAGAAAAAAATAATAAAAAGTATAGAATGAAAATCATTACTTTACTCATTGAAATTCAAATCAGAAGTGATTGAGACCTCCTCCAATCACCACCCCATCACCTCCACAAACGTGGAAGCTGGTGATTGGAGGAGAAGAAGAAAAAAAAAAAAAAAAACTAGCCAATCACAACCCGAGAGAGTCGTGGAAGTGCCCCTGTAGGGATCCAAATCACACTTTTTATTGTGATAATCTCAACCTTTCGTGTTGGGGATCCAAATCATATTGCATGACATTCGTGTTGGTTTGGGTAGTTTGTTGCGATTTATACCTAAAACAAAAGTTTGAGTCGACCATTATCTCCTCATCTCTCTCTCTCTCTCTCTCTCTCTCTCTCTCTCTCTCTCTCTCCCTTTCCAGTGGGCTTTGAAAAAAGGCCTTTGGGAGGCAATCGTGAGGGCCTTAAAAAAGGCCAGCCCAGGAAACTTTTAGGCTCATTGAGCTGGGCCCATGTCATCGATCTCTAGAAATAAAATTTCGAACTCAATTGGCAGGGCTTATAAGCCCAAGTTTAAATTAGGTTACTTGCCATTTGGTTATGCTTTGGATAAATTTCACTTTACCCTATCTTATCGTTTGGAAAATTAATTATTTTAATAGATTATTTTAATTTTTGAGTATTTTAATAAGTTAAAATATTTATATTTAGAAAGATGGTTGATTTTTTTTATTTATTAATTGAATGTGATATTTGTGAAAATAAATAAATAAAATGATTATGAATTTAATATGACATTTAATCTTAGTAATTATTTTAATTTATTTTATTTTGTTTTTATAAATTTTAACCCGAAAAACAAAAAATAGTTTTTGCGAAATAAGGCTACCAGTCACCAAAAATGGCCTTTGTGGACAATTGTATACCACTTGCTTCAAATTTGTCACTTCAATTGTGCAACAAGGTCGTTCATGCAATTGTCAGTCTGCTCATGTGTCAGATGAATTGAATTTTCATTAATTTTTATTTTCCCAAATGTTACAGTTTTGTTGGTTGCTCGAACTGTTCATCAGATATTTTATTAAATTTAAGTAAAAAAAAAAAGGTTAAATTTCTCTATTTAATATTACTTACTTCAACTGAGGGATTTGATTTTTTATAAAACCACCAGTCAATCGGTTGATCAACTAGTCAGTTCAAAAAATAAAAAATAAAACAATTGAATTGTTTGTCATAATAATTATGAAAGAAGAGAAGCATTGTTTGGTTGGAAACTTAGGATACAGAAGAAGAAAAACAATAAGAACAAGCTAAGAGAGAAGGTCCGGGCCACCACCACCACAGACACTAAAGCTCCTCCTCTCCTTGGGGGTGGTGTCACGCCCCAAAATTTAGACAATTAAATATTAAATTAGAACTAAATTTCAATCAATATTCTATCATCCAAATTCTAGGAATGAAACAGAATCTAAACACTCACATCTTCAAAGGGTTTAAGTAAATTTTCATTCTCAAAAGATTACAAGAGATAAAATTAAAAATTAAAAAAAAAAAAAACCTAACAAAACGCCAACCAAACCATCCACCATAATTTCATAACTAACAATACCTCCAACATTAAAGTAACAATAAATAGTCAAAATAACTTAAATAATGTAAAGTTACAAATCATGCCAAATTATCAAAATACTAAGGTCATAAAAAAATAATAAATACATAAACTAATATCAACCATAAGCACAAAAAAACAAAAGAAGTTCAAACAACATGTCCAACAACTGTAGTTATTTCTCTTCACCACCGTAGTCTCAACTAATCCTGCAAAGGAAGCTCGGGTGCGATCAAATAAAACAAACCCGAGTTGCCAAGAAACAAAACGGGTCAGTATACAGGTACACAACGAAATAAATGGGTAGTTTTCCAAAATACGGTAAAATTTAGTTTCTTACCCCGTACACAACGAAATATAAATTGAGTATAAAATAAACAAAATAGAAATAAAAATTTGGTAGGTCAGCCCTACATAAAAAGTTAGTAAGACTTACCATTCTACAAAAAATAAAGTTAGTATAATTTAATCATAAGTAACTTGCTGAAAAAGTATAAAAATGCATCATTTCATGCTTAAATAATTCGAACTGACCAAAACTTAAGGAACAAAAGTTGTACATAATCAAATTTTCTAAAAGGCAGCGCAAACGATTTTAGTAGAAACTGAACAAGTTTAGAGAAAAACTTGATACAAAAACCTAGACAGAATTCAATCAAAAAATCTGAAACTGAAAACGAACAGAAACTGCCTTAAAATGATTTTTTTCGAAAAAGTTCAAAACACGAAAAGTGTGCAGAATAATATTTTACATCAGTTGGTAAGAACCAATAAAAATGAACTCGTTTCATGAGTTGAAACAACATCTAAAGTTTGCATTGTTAAAATGAATAAAAACTATTGTAATCAAGATCATTCGATTACAAGTTCTAATCGATCTTTTTAATAAAAAGTTAAAACATAAAAATTGTCTAATATCTATCTGCTCAAATTTCATAATTTATCGAGGTTGTTTACTATTTTTCAAGATACACAAATTCACACTATACCAATAAACTCATAATTAAATTCTTTGTACCTTAATTCCACCACTTCGGCCCTTCAT